TTCTTAGAGATGCCCTATCCACCGAGATTCCTACCCTACACGCAGGCAGACCTCCAGGGGGCCCCTTTTTCAGCCATTGCTTGCTTCTTATGTAACCTTGGAGAAGAGCTTTGGGACTCTTGTAACTTTGGTGAGATTCCTATTTCGTTGATTCTTATGAGTCCCCTCTTTCTTCCAGAAGGGAAAGTTTCAGTTCAGAGGATAAATGTACAACAGTATATAGAATGTGGTGGCTGCAGTGTCAGCCTGTGCCTTGGACTCCCTGGAAGCCAGCTGCTTTTCTGGGCCTTGTTTGTATACATGAGCTGACAGTCTTGGGCTAGATGGAAAAGTTGAAGTTCACTTTACTGTTAATTCTCTGATTCTGTTTACTGTAATATAATGTCAGAAAATTTCCCCGTATTTTTATTTGGAGGATGTAAGTGCTCACAAGAGTTGATAGAGCAGTTAAATGAATACACCAGGACCCATCAAGCAATCCCTAAACCCGCTGCCCTGTGACCAGTCATGCCCCTCTGCACTTGGACCTACTAATTTCTCTAATTACTTTAAACAAATCCTAGACACTGGGCTCTCACTGATTGCACTGCTCCTGTGCCATCTGTGTGGCCAGCACCTTGGAGTCCTGGGAGCAGTAGTTAAGTCATCAGGAAGATTCCATGTGCATTCCCTCGGTTTTTCTCATGGTGATTTCATGCTAAACTGTGGTGAGCTGTGACAACTGGGATGTTGACAGTGACACAATAGACGGGCTTACTCAGATGCCCAGTTCTACTGGAACATGTGTGGGGGGGTCATCTGTAAAATGTTCTCATATATATTGTGTATCTATGGCCACAAATACTGTAGCTACCAGTGAGAAAAGTGGTTGGCTTGCTACCTTTCTTATGCTCTCCACAAAGCCTGTCCATCCATTTTCCCTTATTTCTTGAGGGTCATAACTGTACCAGAGAATCATAATTGTAAATAAATGTCTTGTGTCTACCCCACCACAGTCCTGAGTTCTTGATTTGAGGGAGGCTTAAGGATATTCTTTCAAAACCCTTATCTTCTCTGGTAAGGCTGTGTCTCAGATAGCCTGTTTCCATGGTTTTCTGCAGAACCTTGAGACCCATTTCCTTAGCTTTAGTATGTGTCTCAAGAATTTCAAAATGATGGAACCAGTGAGATGACTGAGTGGGCACAAATACTTAATCTATAAGTATAAGAGTGACTCCAAACCCCACAATAAACACAAAATGTCAGGAATGTGGGTACCTATAACCTTTAGCATCTGTTGGGAGGTAGAAGCAAGTCCCAGAATTCACAGACAACTCAGGTTTAGTGAGAGACCCTGTCTCAAAGCAAGAGGATGGTGAGCAATAGAGGAGAAAGACTCTTGTCCTGCATTTACTTCTATACATATGCACGTGGGCGCATGCAACATATACACATACTAAATAGTGATGTCTAAGATAAAATGTAACTCAAGATTATAAATACATACATATACTCCACACCTTTAAATCATGATCATAGAAATACTTCAAATCCAAAATGCACTAAAGAACATCTGGGGAGCAGGTCACAGTGGCATGTGTTTGTGATCTTCCCTCTTAGGATGCTGAGACAAGGGGATCATGAGTTGGAGTCTAGCCTTGGCTGTACTGCCAGCCTCTGTCTCAAAAAGCATCTGGAAATATAGGCAAAATGAAAATTTTGATTAATGATCTAAATATTAATTTAACAACTTTCGTCTGTATAAAAAATTAATATGTTTATGATTATTGACGATAACTAGGATTATGCAAGAGGCTTTCTACTGAAGGCATGGGACTCAGAAGCTACAAACAGAAAATGTGTAGGTTTGACTATATATGTGTAATATATATTATAAGTGTATATCTATTAAAAATTTTGTAATAAAGGTTCAATAAATTGCAAGAAAACTGAGTAAAACCATACGTGTATATATGTATCACACATACTCTTTTGCAAGTTATCTTTTCTAGGGTATAGACATATATTTTTATCTCTAATAAGTTATTATTTCTGATATGAAAAGAATTGGTATAATTCCACAAGAAAATGCCAAGTAGTAAATATCAAATATTTCACAGAAGAAAGCCTATTACCATCACATACAAGTAGACATTTGCCTTCAATAAGACATAAGAGTGCTGTAGGAGCTCCTTCAGCCAATAGCCTTTAAGAAACAACCCACTTGGGCGTGGTCTCTTATACTATAAATGCAGCTATAAAGCATGTGCTTGCTCTCTCACTTCTGGCTCTTGATTCCTGTTCCCTGTTTGTGCAGAGGACTATGGTCTGGGTCTGTGATCTGTGAGTCTACCCCTAAATAAATAACCCTTTATTATACGTAATTCTGAACTAGTGTGGGATTATTTTGTAACTTCCGTCATCATAAGAAAGCAGAAAAACTGAAATTTTAAAACTCATCAAATGGACAAAATGAAAATCAGTACTCAATATAAATTAGATATGGAAGAGGGGCCTCATGGAAGGCTCTACCATGACATCTTGTCTCGCCACAAACCCAACAAAGACAGCAGAGCTTGTGTGGGAGAATTGTCTGTATTCTGTCAATCATGTATTTTAATAAAACGCTGATTGACCAGGCAGGAAGTATAGGTGGGTCAACCAGACAGGAAGTAGAGGCAGGGCGATGAGAACAGGAATATTCTTGGAAGCAGGAAGCTCCCTCTACCATTCCTGTGCAGACCATCGAAGAGGCAGGATGTAACCTGCCCAGCTGAGAAAGGTACTGAGCCGAGCCGTGTGGCTAATATAGATAAGGATAATGGGGTAACATAAGTTATAAGAGCTAATAAGTAGCCTGACCTAATGGGCCAATCAGCTTTATAACTTATAGAGATCTCTGTGTGATTGATTTTCTCTGGGACTTGCCGGCTGTGAGGTACCGAGCGGGAACAGATACCCCAACAAGCCGGCCCTCATGCTACACAGAGCCACACAACTGTGGACTGAAACTAGGTGCCAAATAACTCCTTCCTCTTTGTAGACTGACTTTCTTCAGCTGTTTTGCCTTATTGGAAAGCTGACTAATACACCTAATCATTAAAATAAATTAAAAGTATTACAGTATACAAATAAATAAACAGTGAGAGTCCCAACATTCAGCTCTTTTCTACTTCTGTTCTGTAACCATTTTCAAGCACATTTTCCTTTTCCCAGATTTTTAGCACACACACATACGTATCTCTTCTCCACCTCCTACCTCCTCTCCACTGAGCCATGTCGTATATAATGTGGTCCTAGAGATTGTCCTGCACAGATTTTTGCCATCTTCTGTTATGTCACTGTAGACTTAATGCCTTCACTATATGACATTGTGGAACTCTGTCGTAGCTGGCATTTAAAAAGCATTTCTTTTTTGCTAAATATTTTAGATTGCTTAATAATATTCTTCAAAAAAAATTAAGCTACAGTGACTCTCCAAGCTTCTGTGTCCTCATACTCTGCTTTTCTGTGATGCAGATCTCCAGCACTGTGACCACTATTGGAGTGTAGGTGTGTTTTTAAACTTAAGGTATGCTGACAAACTGCCCCAGGAAAAGCTGTATTGAGTTATATTACCACTAAGCATTGTTGAAAATATACCTCTTTGAAAGGTCCTGCCTCCAAATAGTATCAGGGTGGCAACCAAACCTTTAATACATGAACCTATGGGGACATTTAAGATACAACCCGAAGCAACAAGTTACATTTTTTTATTATGTTGAGAAACAAAAGAAATTTTAAATGTGAAACAAACCAATTGTAGATCAAAAAGAAAGAATTTGGTTAAAAATTTATTGCCACAGATTTCGATGCTCATGGTTAAAATAAACAGAAAAAAAACCCACTTGTTATTGTATTACCCTTATCTGGAATATTTAGTTCAAGTATTTCTCTATGACTATTTAATTCATTGTATTTCATTGGTAGTGTTTACAGGTGTCCCCCTTGTGGTTTACCCACTACAGTGTCTGCCCAGCGAAGGGACTGTGAATGGGAAGGTGGAGATCCAAGAGCAGTGCCCGCTTCCCTTATCTCCCGAGCAGCCTTGCTTCAGATTGAGAAAGTCTGCAGTCTGTTTCTACTTTGGTTCTTTCTGATTGTTCATTGTTACTGTCCCTCTTTTAATGGCACGTTGAGCTATGCCAAACCCACTTGCTTCATTCTTTCTACTAATTTAATTTCAAAGGAGAAATTCTTCGGCCCAAATAAATAAGTTCACATGGATGCACCCAGAAACCCTGATTCAACATGTCCAACCAACTGCTTCTACATGTTAAGATATGTTCTTAGGAAATGTCTACACATAGATTTAAAAAAAATAGAGAGAGGTCAGCCAGTGAAAAACAATTAGTTGAGAAGTGGCAGGACTCTCCTAGCTGCTTACAAGGCCTTGTTTAACTTCATCCCAATGAAGCAAACAGAATCCCCAGGGATTTGAAATGCACCTAACAAACTCAGCCTCTTGCAAAATACCTTTATTATTTAGAATGGAACTGGGGATGTTCCAGGCACAGTGAGTCATCTTTAGGCAAGTACAATAGAACCTCCAGGGGCATTTCTTAGCCTCTGTGTGGTGCCATTGTCAGGATGTTTTTAGCTCTCTCAGGTAAATAAGGAAGCTGCTGCAGCCACCATCTTTGTGCTGAAACCACACAGTGAAAACTTGGAGTTGCTGCTGCAGAAGTTTTTGTGCTGCCCCCGCCCCCACAAGGCTCCCCACTCCCCATCTCCTTTCTCTACCCAGAGTTGCTTTGTTTCCCAGAACAATCTGGACTTACTTAACGCTGGTGTTTTCTGTTTTTACTGTTTACCGAGGACTCAAATGTTAAGTATTTAGTAAGGGTAACTCCTGTTTCTTACTCATAGCTTTGTATTTACTTAACTTATTTATGAGAAGAAAATTCCGCCCCATGTTTGCACTTGTTTTTTAAATTGACAAACACAGTTTGACTTTATGTCTGCTTCCCCCTCCCCCCCAGGAGGATCTGGAGCTGCCCGTGGATGGTTCCGAAGTGGCGGAGTCCACAACAGCGTCGGAAGTGATCAAATACGAGTATCACATCTTATACTCCTGCAGCTACCAAGTGCCAGTTCTCTACTTTAGGGCAAGCTTTTTAGGTAAGACCATGTCTGAAGGTAAATTCATAAAATTTATATGTAAGACAGGAGACGTACTTGGAAAGTCATTCTTGAGAGGAAAAAAAAAGATGGAGTTAAAAATAAAAAAGCTGTGGGTGAGGTAAGGTTTTCCCAGTAAAATTTCTCATGCTTCAGAAAGAAAATCAAGACTTCATAGTGAATGACATCATCCCCACCTTAAATCTGATCTTCATGGGTTTTGGCCTCTTGCCTGTAGTTGACTAAGCCCCCTGGCCCTTCTTGACTTTAAACAAGTAGCAACAACTTAAGGCTGCAATGTTTATTTACTTGTAACTTTGCAGTAAAAATTTCTCTTTCTCTCAAATGATGCCATTAGGTCAAAATCTCCTAAGCTTCCTTTCCCAAGAGCTTACGATTACTTCAAGCAATGTTTATTAGTTAGTTTAAGGTGTATTTAAAAGTGGCAGTAACATGTCCTTTAGCCATCTATACATCTCAAATGCTGTTACTTAACTCATTCTCCTGCCAAGAAGGTGAACACCCTGTCTCCTTGGAAGCCTCTGCTAATAAAGCTTATTTAGCGGCAGCCGCATGGTGTCCTCCCCTTGCAGCTCAGGGAGACTTTGAATATGCACAGACTAAACTGGCCCGGCTTCAGGATGCCTTGTCCTGGCCCGGAGACTACTCAGATCTCCTACCCAGCCCACCTCTTACCCAGAGTCTCCTTTTGTACATGGCTTTCTCGGCCACCCTTTGCATTTGGAGGAGACTTCTGGATAGCTAAGACATCTGAATTTAGCCAATGATATTTTGTTTTTAATTAAAAAGTAGCTAAAGCTGCTTTCCATGTGTATGTGGTGGGTTAATAACTCGCTGCCTTATATTGTTTAATGGACTCTAGATTTTGCTGGCAGCTTAACAGGCACTTAGGATTTAAAATAAGAGCAAATTCTTATAGACTCCCTGGTGAGAAGATTCTAATCTGAGGTGCAGTTCCTGAGAACTGACAATTTTGGGTAAATTTTCAACCTGGGACTTGAGGACTGAGGACGTTGATGGTTTCCTAACTCTCAAGCCCTTGCGGCAGACTCATCTGCATGGTTATTACTAACCTTTAAAACACTCGCCTTGTTGTAATTATATTTGGTTTGGAGTCCAGAGGTTAAAGAGGACTCCTTGTCTGTCGCTGTGCTCTCTGCTAAAAGGTGGCAGATGTATTTGTTACGTGGGGTGGAGGTAACGGGGACTGCCTTTCTTGGTTCTAGTTGGCGGTGGTCTCTCTACCTAGCACCGTCTAGAGGCAGAGGAAGTCGGGGCTGCAGGTAGAGGACACGCGAGGTGGTTCTGGTGTCAGCACTGCTCTCTCATGTAATCAGCATTCCCTGTAAGCAGTTAATCACCAGAGATGCCTTCCCAGAGACAAAACCAGTCGTTTAGCTTGTCAGCATCAGGGATGTGAGGTGTTGAAACATGGCTGCTTCTAGTTGGAAGTGGGTCTTGCTGAGGCTGGCGGAGGAGCTCACACTGGCACTGTGCTCTGCGTGTGCCAACAGCTCCCCTTACAGCACAGCACAGTGACTGTTCCTGCAAGTCCAATTATACTTTAATGACATTAGTGTGCTGCCTGCGTGCCTTTCTGCATGATGATTTTAGTTCTTAAAACATACATACACAAGTAGCATTCTTGGTTCTATTTATAGAATTTAAGATGCCCTTCATTTGTGGCTTATAAAGAAAACCAAAGAGGTCATTTATTTTATGTGGAAATGTTTTCCCTACCTCTCATTCTGTCTTGCCTAAATTTTTTTTAGTTCTTTTTATTCCAGAATTCATTTAGTATTTGTTTAGACACATTAAAATATGAATTCATTTTTTTATAAAGCATATCAAAATGTTGTCTTATGGAGAAAAATGAAAAATGCTTCTTTCCTTTATCATTCTTGTACTTTTAATTTTTTTTGTTTTTACCTAACTTAAACTCAGGGACATTCTAAAACTGTATCATTCTTCACTCATGAGTCATAATTTCTCATTTATTCTTCCCAGTCCAGTCCTTTTCATGTCCTGTCAGCCTGATTGGTGTTAGCAATCTTTGATGGTGTGGAGCATGTCTTCCTTATTTCAGGCCCAGGGTTTTTCTTTGTCTCCATCCTAGAAACAGGATGATTGTAGAACTTCTAGCCCAAGTGTCTTGTCTTATCTTTTATCTTTTTTGTCTTTCTTTCTTTCGTTCTTTCTTTCTTTCTTTCTTTCTTTCTTTCTTTCTTTCTCTCTCTCTCTCTCTCTCTCTCTCTCTCCTTCTCTCTCTTTCTTTCTTTCGTTCCTTCTTTTTTTCGTTCTTTCTCTTCTTATCTTTTTGTTGTTGTTGTTGCAAAAATAGTTCATTTGTCTTGTTTGTGATGGAAGTTAGAGTTTCTTTTGCATCTGTTAGTAAATATCAATTTCTCTGCTTAAGTTTGAATTTTTTTCTGTATCATTTTTTATAAACTGTAAAAGCAAAGCAGAGGGGGGTGATTCCCATCGACATTGATGTTGCCTCTTTGATAACTGGTTGAGATTTCTGCTGGATCTTTTTTGTTTCTTGAAATGCAAATCCAACGTACTCTGAATTCCTTTTCTGCCTCTGTATGACCCAGTGTCTGCCGACTGTCCTTGTTATTCCCATGTCCTCTGTCCTATACCCATCCTAGCTGTCATCTTGTCACCTTGCAAACTGCAATATAGTCAAATGTCTGTTTATTTGGCCCCTACTAGATGATCCACAAACAAATAAAAGTAGTAAAGGATATTAATGTCGTTACCTCCAAAGTGAGAAGCTTTGTTTGGGGACTCTGCCTGGAACTAACATGGCATTTTGACACATACATACCCCACTCATTGCAT